ATAATGAGATTTTCTTTTTTTCTCCCCGTTCTGTCTAGAGACAGAAGACCCAAGGCCAGGGCATTGGCATCAGGCAATGGGCTTGCTGGGTCATGCTATGGTGGCAGGCTGAAGGGCAGAGGAAAAAGGAGAGGTGATGGAGGAATGAGCACTATCGTTTTTATAAGGAACCCACGTTCTGCTGTAGCATCATGCAAGAGGGTGATGCCCTCAAGATGCAGACGACTCTCATCAGACCCTGCCGTGCTGAGGACCGCATCAAAGGCACATGACTTCGGGGAGGGGGGAATACATTCAAAGCATTCAAACCAAACTAGGGACTGTGGACATGCTTCCTCCCCATCCCATTGGTCCTGCCTTTCTGCACGCCCCACTGACCACTACTGACACCTCTCCTATGGTCCAGAGAGTGGGAGCCACCCTGATGGAGTGGGAAGAGAAATGTAAACAAGAAAGGATGCATACAAGGCTGGGAGTGGAACAGATGAAAGGAAGTGTGCAGGAGAGGCAGAGCTCATTGTAGTTCTCAGATTTCACAGGGCTGACGGGAACCTCGGAACCCTGGGGAACCTGGGAACCCTTAGCATTTTAATCAGCCAGCCTTGGCTCCACTCTGGGATATTCACTCCGGGTCTGCCAGGACTCCTTTAGAACATCTACTCAGACGGGGATCTGTAGATCACGGTTCTTCCTATTAATTTGGAGTCGGAAGACCGCGCTGTATCGTCATCGCTGACACCGCCAGCACTACCGCCGCAAACAGGAGCATCGCCCAGCGGCTGGCACTTCAGGGTTTGCACATTGTGTTCATAACCACTTCTCATTCATGCCCACACCAGTGACCTCTCCGTTGCTGGGCTGCGGTGCAGTGAAACGACTACATTTGCCTTGGGCCCTGGGAGTGGAAATTTTTAATCGGGTGAGAATAAAGATGAGGCCAGACAGAATACTGTTGAATACCCTGGGAAAGAGAGACCCCTTGGAGATTTGTCTTAGTTTTCTCAGCCGCTTTGTTGACATTTCTGCTATCATCTTGCTACTGAGATAAGAATGGTAACCAAAATAAAAATACGGATACTCGTAATGAAGCTAATAATAATTTGCCAAATTTTCCCTTTGTGAAATAGAATTGAGACCCGTGGGTCAAATTACATATGAAATGAATGAAACACAGACAGCAAGAGACATAAATACAGATAAATGTTTTAGCTCTTTGAAAAATGTTTTTCAGGTTATTAAAATAATTATTATTATTATTTACTTTTAAAAATTATGCTTTGTGTGTGTGTGCCACAGTGCACAGGTGGAGGTCAGAGACAAGTTCCAGGGGTACAGACCCTCTACTTCCAACAGGGGAAGGTCCCAAGGAAGGAACTCAGATTACTATCCTCAGTGACTTGTACTTTTAACCCCTCAGCCAGTCTCTATTTTGCCCCTTTAAAGTTAAAAATTTCTCAGGTAATTTAGTTAAGAATGAAGCTGAAAGTTTCCCACTGGCATCAGAGACAAGAACAAGGCAAATGCCTTGGTCACAGCTTTGGCGCAACGTGAAATCCCAGACGCCTTAGAGGCCCTCTGTACAAGAGTCAGTAAGATGGGGCAATAGCTTTTTCTGTCTGACACACTCAATAATTCTAATTCACAGAGTGAAAGTGAAAGGCAGTACAAAACAGTAACCATACTTTTAGAGAGCAGTTATCAACAAACAATTGGACAGCTATATTTGAAATGTGGATTTTTATTCAGCAATATATTTTTGAAAAGCTCTTTCAGAGTACTCTCCTGGTCTGTCATTGATAAGTCTTTAGTTTGCTTGGTTCATGCAGAACTCTTAGTTATGACTATTTTAGCATGCCCTCCACCACACACACATATACACACAGTGAATATTCTTCTGTGGGGATAAGATCAAACGGTAGAAGGTCAAGATCTTGTTCAATAGTTTCCCACCCAGACTGCTTTTCAAATTTTCATGGGTCTCCCTAAAATTACAAGATATTCCTTTCCTGGAATCGTGTATCTGCTTCTTGGGCAGTGGAGGGTGAGGGAAGGCAGGTGAATGAGAACAACGTATAAGGACTCAAGTATGAAGTCCTTATGATGAACCTTATTACTTTTTTAACCTAGAACATTGATTTTAAAAACTCTTAATCTCACCAGGTGGTGGTGGCACACGCCTTTAATCCCAGCACTCAGAAGGTAGAGGTAGGTGGATTTCTGTGAGTATGAGGCCAGTCTGGTCTACAGAGCTGGTTCCAGGATGGCTAAGGCTGTTGCACAGAGAAACCTTGTCTTGAAAAACTAAACAAGAAAAAAAAATCTTAATCTCTATGATTGTCATCAGCATTCTTGTATATTTTGTGCCAATTCAATTTTTCAATTTTGTAAGACTTTTAAACTGCATTACAAATATATACTATAATTTCTCAACTGTAGAAAGGTCAGTGAGAAAGAACGACCAGCGAGAATGATTTAACACTGGTGCAGGCCTTTACTTGGGGTGGAGTGAACCTCAGCCTGCTTCTATTAACAGTCTGGGGAACTGTAGGGCAAATGGGGTGGGGTGGGGAGTTGGAAACTTTACTTTCTGACTCACAGTTGGTCATTGCTAGGATACCCAGTTAAGAAATGTTAGGTGATCAATAAACACCTTTCCTGGGGTTCCCTAGGGCAGAGAAATCAAGAATCTGGAGAAATGAGTTAGCTTACTTCTAGGAACCAAATTCCTGTAATTACCGGCACTGTCGCAGTTCAAGCAAAATGAAGGAGTTTACAAAATGCTATAGCCCCAGCTGCCATCCTGGCCTTGTGTTATTAGCCAGGTGACGTCATAGTCGTCTTTTTCTCAGCTCCTCCCTGCTAAACAAGGGCGGCATCCTCCTCTGGTATCAGAGATTTTGGAGGGGAAATACCACAAGGGAAAGGTCTGCCCTCAATGGCTTTCAAGTCTGCTAATATCTGCCTGGCTACCTAACACTCTCCTCTCAAGAATTAAGACGATAAAACCACTTAAGAGATGGACCTCAAGTCAATTTGACTGCTTCTGGCTGAACTTGGGGATACAGAGGAGCTTAGGGTTTCCACCACTGCTGCTGTTAAGGCATCGGAGGCAATCAAGGGATTATGATAGACAGACGCTAGATCATCAAAACACCATCTGAGTGTGGATCAACAGGAAGTGGGGGAAGATAACAGCTGATTACACAGGGTCCAAATTAATAACGTCGCTACTAAGAGCACAGTAGATTCGAACCATTTTTGTTATGAAGACCCAGAGACCCAGTTTTAAAGTTATTCACCAGCGGAACAGTGGTATTCGGTGTGGGCTCCATCCAATCTGTAGACCTTGTAGAGCAAAGGAGCTATGAGCCGAGTTATCAGAACTGTACCCGCAGCAGCAGTGTGCTAGGGAAAGCATGGCAGTAGCGGAACTAGATTCCAGCTGGGCCAGCTGTGAGCCCCCATCTGGAATGTCCATAGCCACACAGACCCATAAGGTCTGACCCACGTTTGTTTATGTTAATATAAATCATCTTAACTTTGCAGTATAATAAGTTGCACCTTAATAAATGAATGTTAAAATAAAAGTGGAAGGATACAATGAGGAAACAAAGAGGAGGCCCTCTCCTCTGGACCCCTTGGCCATTTTTTTTTTTTTTTTACTGTGCTTTCCTAGGGACTTGGTGACCTTGAGAAAGAGAGGAAGAAGTCACCGCTTTCTAGTCCAGGTTTGCTTTTTGTGACAAGAAGAGACACCTCCTGGAGATGCAGCAATTGTCCAGAGGACCTGGATGCAGTTCCCACCACTCACAGGGTGGCTCACAACTGTCTGGAACTCAGTGACAGTTGATATAATGCCCTCTTCTGCCTCTTTGGGCACTGCACACACATGGTACACATACACACATATGAGCAAAAACACTCACAAGCATAAAAATAAATAAAAATTTAATAAGAGGGAAATGACGCTTCCCTGTTAAGCAATTCCTTAGACTATCTCAGCATAATTGTTCACCACCCCCAATATGACTAAGACCTAAATTATAGGCGAACATATTTAATAACTGAATCTCTGCTTCCTACCCCCAGTGCTCCCCCATATCCTCAAGTGGATTTACAATGGCTCTATATTATTCTTAGCTAATCCTGCTGCAGAAAATCACATGGCCCTTGATCAGCTTCGCAGAAGTCCGTGCCAGGCAAGGCCCTTACTCAGAGCAAGGGATGGAGTTTCTCTGCCAAGTTAAAATCCTGAACCTCTGACTTGTAAGGCTGGGTGAGACGTGAGAGCCAGGTTCTTCAAGAACCTCGCTCCACCGAGTCTACAGACATCCTAACCTGCTTTTCTCTCTGCTGGAACTGTGGGCCACACGCCTGGTGCAAAGCTCTGCATTGGGGATCGTCTTTCCAGCCTGTCTTTTTCAAGGTATTGAAAGTATTACACAGTGGCAATATTATCACAGCAGACAGTAGATTGGATATAATCTAGAAATGTATTGATCATGGGCAAAGACCTAAAACCATTTGTTGCTGCTGTTTACCTGGTGTTTTATTAGTATCCCCAATTATACATAATAATGTGTTTCACTATACAGCTTTATATGGAAACATAATATACTTCCAACACATTCCCCTTCTCCCCTTATCCTCTTCTGTGTCCCCCTACTCCTTTGAAACTTTTTATTTCACTCAGGATCTCTTGCAATTTTGTTCCGATTTATAAGAAGACTTTAAGCAAAACAAAAAAAAGTAACATTTAATGAGAGCCCAAGTTTATAAAGATTTTAAAAATCTGACTCCGTAGGTTATATACACATGTGCAGATATATGGAATAGTAATCATTAAAGAAGACTTCATAAATTTGGAAAGTGGAACATGTGAGGAGCTGGAGGGGGCCTGGGGAAGGGGTGGGAGTCATATGCATATACAACTCATGTATGAAGTTCTAAAAAAGGTAATTTCAAAAAGAATTTAAATAAATAACAACAAAAAAATGTACCTGAAAATCCTGGAGACAAACCTCTGTAGGCAGGCTCATGTGTGTTTCCTGTTTCCCTGGGTGGTGGCGCTCAGCCTTCCTCCAGAGAGACTTAGTGATGAAAACCCTGTGCTCCCCGCCCAGCGGAGGCTGAGCATTGCCTCTTCTCTTAAACACATGGGTCACAGCCAGCGGTTAGCAGGGTACGGTTTAAAGGCAGATTTGATTAGATGAGGCAAACTGGCATCTTATTGAAGAACTGCTGTCCGGGAGAGCCTGACTGAAGATGGGAGATCTTCTGGGCTCTAGCAACTAGGTCTGACCCAGTGATTTGGCACAACAGAGTCAAACCACGCCAGGTTTCCAGTGCTTGCTTGAACTGTGTGGTCAGGTGATCAGACGCAGCACAAAACAAGAACTGGGCACTGTAGCTGGACATGTGGCTGGGGGAATGGGGGCCCGCCGACCTTTACCCCTTGGTCCGGTCTTTCTATGTTGGCTTCCATGTAGTACTTCCAAGCTAACCCTGCAAAGAGCAGTCATGAGTCCAGCAGTGACTTGCTTTATCGGGAAACATTTCCTATAGAAGGAGCAGTAAAAATCTTTCTGTCTGTCTGTCTATCTATATAATAGAAATATAGATAACTGTTTCTCTATCTACTTAACTTTCTCTCGCTTTTCCTCCCTTCTTCCCCCCATTCTCCTTCCTTCCTCTCTCCCTCCTTCCTCCTCCTCCTCTTCCTCCTTCTTCTCCCTCACCCCTTCTCTCTTTCTTTCTTTCTCAATAAAAGATAAAGCGTTTGGCTGTCTGGTAACTGGATGTCATGGTGTCAGTATCTTTGTCCAGAAACTTATAGTCACTTGTGACCAGTTAGCTTACAGTTAGCTAAATTACCCCCAAATGCAAGACAACGGTCACAAAGCCCCATCCCTGAGTCTTCCAAACAAGTCAGCTCTGGCCTTTCACCTAATTACTCCCCCTTCCCTCTCGTGATCAGCAGATCCTTTGCACCACAAAGCCTGCCCTTCCTCTCTCAGCGACTTCTCAAGAGCTCAGTGGCACTGTCTGACTGATCTGGCTGGGGAAGCAGTAGCAGAGAAAGTACATTCGGTTTCCCTTCACTGCCAACATTAGCTACCGGGTTGCCTGGGCTTCAAGCTATAAAACAAGAACTGTCTCAGCCTGCCCCCAACCCGCACACAATAGCCACGGGCTGTGGCTGGACTCTTGACAGTTCTGCCCGGCAGCTACTGCGTCAGTTGTGAAGGAGTCTCCGACAGTTGAAAGCCAGGGATCTGCTCCAGCAGCCTCTGCAGACACTTAGACATGTCGACCCCGTGAGTCTGCAGAACAGGCTGGCAAGTGTTCACCCACAGGACATCTCGTGGGATTTCCTGTGCTTCCTGCTACTGCTGCTGCCCAGGCCACACGTCCCAAGGAGAGCCTTTCTCATGCTAGGTCAGCGCTTACACTGCCAGTTGTGGCAGAGGCCAGATGGAAGGGGTGTGAACAGAAATATGCCCTCCAGTTTTTTTTCTGGTTCTGCTTTTGAGTTGCCTTGGGGTTTAATTTTGGGGGGTTGTTCTCTCTGTTTTTCTGAGGGAATACGAGAAGAGAAAGTGCTAGGTAGAGAGACAACGAATTGAAATATTACTAAGTCAGCTCATGTAGCATTCGCAAAGAGAGCTCATGGTGAGCTACAAGCAGACAGTGTCACTGTTGAACTGGTGACCATATGACAGCTTAAGTTCAAATATTTCTATATGAAGCCCCTGCAAAGTCATCAGATGTTGGAATAAGTTTTTAAATATGAACCAATGGCTGTGCTGTTGAGATCTTAGCAATGGAGGAGTGTGATCTCTGTTCATTTAAGTAATGCTTTGAATTAGTTCACAATGTGTAAAATTATTTTTTAATTTAAAATATTATTCTCTTTCTTTCTTTCTTCTTCTTCTTCCTCTTTTTTTTCCTTTCTTTCTTTTTTTTCTTTTTTTTTTTTTTTTTTGAGATAGAGCTTCTCTGTGTAGCCCTGGTGGCTACAGGAGCTGGCATGAAAGGTGTGCACTACTAATGCTCAGTTAATTTAAAAAAATGTTTTATTATTGTGTATATTTATGTTATGGTATTAGGGAAGGGGAAGGGGAAGGGAAAGGACCTACCCCAGAGCTAGGTGAAGATCAGAAAGCAACTTCCAGGAATCGGCTCTTCCTCCCCATGGGTTCTGGGGACCAAACTCGGGTCCTCAGACCTGGACATTGAGCCTTTCACTTGCTGAGCCAGAGCATGTAAAATAAAAGGAAAGTTGCTCGGGGCTTGAGAGATGGCTCAGTGGTTAAGAGCTCTTGTTGCTCTTGCAGAGTTCTGGGTTCATCCCAGAACCCACATGAAAGTTCACAACTATCTATAAATCCAGTTCCAGGGGATCTGATGCCTTCTTCTGACCTCCAAAGGTACCAAACATTCAGATGGTGCACATACATGCATTCAGGTAAAAGATTCATACATACAATTAAGAGGAGGAGGCAGAGGAGGAGAAGGAGAAGGAGAAGAAGAGAGGGAAGGAAGAAAAGAGAGAGAGAGAATGGAAGGAAGGAAGGAAGGAAAGAAGGAAGGAAGGAAGGAAGGAAGGAAGGAAGGAAGGAAGGAAGGAAGGAAGGAAGGAAAATTTTTCCCCTTAGAGGTTTGAAATTCTTCAACTGCATAATTCCACCTTTACTGAAGAGCTTGCAGCAACTCTCAGAGTTTGCTCAAGGAAAACCAGTGAACGATACATGCACAGGAAACTACAAACCTGTCAAAAGAATGAAGAGTCCGGGGTCCGACTAGGAATGTTTTGGAAGTCCAATTGTCTGTGCTGGGGTTGATGGCACCTCCCTGACTCTTCAAAGAGCTTCTAGCCTCCTTTCCATTCATTAATCAAACCAAGGTCACTCAGAGTCACCCAGGTACTCTGTAGGCTCTTTGCTATGTTTCTTTATCCTTCTGAAATGTTCTTCCCTCTGATATTTGCATGTCAAACTTGTTCTCCACCTTCAGGCTTCAGTAAGAAGTTCCACCTTCAAAGAAATCCTTTCTGCTTGCTCTCCTCAGTATTCACTTTGCTGACTCTTTTTCTCATAGTACATAATGACTACATGAAACATTTTTATTCCTATACATGATCCATCACATATGTAAGGTCCATGAGCACAAAAGCCTGGCTGTACCTCTTGGAACTATGTCGGGAAGACACTTGAAGCTTCGATAACTAGGTGCCTGATAACTGAGCAACAGCTGGTACTCGCCCAGAGGAAGCTTCTCTGAAGGGTCCTCACCAAAGACGCTGACTGACTTAACTTGTTTGCCCTCAGCAGCATCCTTATAGAAAACACAGAAGGCAGTCCATGAAGACTCAATGTCACGTGACTCAGAACGGGATACTCTGGAAAGCCTGTGAGGGTTCTATTTGTAATTTTTCCCAGTTCTGAAATCCTCTCTCTGCACAGAGATGGTGCCGCACTTTCAGTCAGAGACCAGACTCCATGCCTCTCCCTACCAACTACTTCTCCTTCTCCAACTGTGAAATATAGAGTTGTCAGCAAACTAACCGATAAAGCCTCACAATGTGCTCGGGACCAGCTGGAGCCTGGTGTCTGCTGGACATAACTACTCTTCCCTTCTGCTTAGTGACTCAAGTCTTCATTTAGGAGGAAGAACTTGATTCAATCTATTACATTTTAGTCATTCTGCCTTCACAGCCTCTGCAGCTCTAAGCCTCCTAGACCACACTGGGTGTCTAACTGTGATACATCTTTTTTTTGCAGCATGCACACAAAGGGATCAATACTATGCATGATCTGTGTGACCTGCTCCCCATTCAGTTACCTCACTGAATCATTTACTTGCCATCTCCTACCTCACTGGGATCCAGGAACACCGGTGGCTCATTAGCTGTAGGTCAGGACCAGTTTGCACCTGCCTCAGGACCTCCGCACTGGTTTCTCTGACAGCCATGCTTTTCTCTGGGCCCTTTTCTCTTTTCTCTTGGTCCCTGCCTTCCTCCAGTGTGGTACTCGGAGGCGTCCTTTCAGTGAGGTCTCCCCTGGACATGCCATCTAAAACAGCAACCTCTCTACCCTAGCATTTCACATACTTTTGGCTCATTTTCTTCCTCCCCTACTGTTTTTACTTGGAACTTTCAAAATCTATCAGAAAGTGGAAAGGAAAACAATGACTAAGAAAATAACACCAAGAACAAAAGCAGACGGCCTCACAGGGAGTTAAATGTTCTACCCTGAAATTACCAAGAAGTGGAGAAATTCTGGACAAAGACAGGGTGAATCCAGACAAACCCAGGAAGCAAGTGACAGAAAAGATGCTGATTTGTACAAACAAAAAAAATATTCTGGTGGTATCTGGAGAGTGAGGTGAACCCCCAGGTAACAGTGCGAATGATGTAGGCTGTTAAGAGTGGCAAGCGAGGCATGGCAGTGCAGGTCTGTAATCCTAGAATTCTGCAAACATGGCAGGTTGAGTGCCATGGATTTGTGGCCAACCTGGGCTACAGTGTGATGCTCTGTCTCCAAACAACAACTAAGAAATACCATAGAAAACCGCTAAGGAGGCGGCAAGTGCAACTAAATTCCATAGCAATACTAAAGATTAAAAAATAAAGTAGGCAGTAAATTTTTACATAAGAGTGTAAACACAACCCTAGGCATGTTCCAAAGGGGTAGTAAACGCTGTCTGTGACTGTCACACACATGCCGAGGAACTGTGTTGTACTTTGCAGATGTGCTGGACACAAAGGGGTCTTGACTACCTGTGAACTCAGGAAGGAAGCCCAGCGGTGAAGCCAGCAGCAGCAAACACAGCTGGAAGGCGAACCATGGCTAACACAGCAGAGGAGGTATGGGTGTGGCCATGGCTAATACAACAGAGATGTGGGTGTGGCCGTGGCTAACATAGCAGAGAAGATGTGGGTTTGGCTATGGCTAACACAGCAGAGGTGTGGGTGTGAAGAGAAGTCCTTTCCAGAGTCTGAAAATCTGCTATGGGTCTCATTTTTCTTCTAAAAACACTTCTCTAAATTCTTCTCTTGCTTGCAGAACACAGAGTTCAGGAAGCAATAAAGGAACTGACACTCTAGGCTTTGGTGGGGATGTTGTTTGCTTGTTTGTTTGAGACTGAGTCTCACTAAATAGCTTTGGCGGGCCTCCAACTCACTATGTAGACCATAGCATGTATGTATGGCCTTGATCTCAGACATCTACCTGCCCTGGCTCCAGAGTACCAGGGTTAAAGGCATGTGCCACCACCCTTGACTTTTAGGCTCACTTTTGATCAAGTAAAGTCATCAGGAGATGAAGGGAGATTTAGGGGAAAAGAGCTATTATAGGCAAAACTCCCAAGAGCCCAACAAAGGCTGGGATGTCGCCTGGTTTATAGAATACTTACGTGGCATGCACAAAGCCCCGGCTTCAGTCCACAGCACCACATAAACCAGGCATGGTGGCATGCATCTGTGACCCTAACACTCAGGAGGCGGTGGTAAGAAGATCTGAAGTTTAAGATTATCCTCGGCTTCACAGTGAGTTCATAGCCATCTTTGGACATATAATACCCTATCAATGAATAAATGCGTAAATAAATAGCCAAACAAGTAAATGGCAATTTCCCCCTCCTCCTGAAGGGCAGATTAAAGTTCAGAGACAAATACCTATTGAGCAGGGCATGGAGACACACACTTTTAGTTCCAACGCTGGGGAGGTAGAGGCGGATTGTTCTTTGTGAGTTTGAAGCTAGTCTGGTCTATAGAAAGAGTCCAGGCCTGGGCTACTAACGAGAGCCTGTCTCGGAAAAATAAAACAAAAAAAAACAAAAGAACAACACAAACCTCAGGTCCATGGTCAGAACTGACCTGACCAAATTGATTTTATAACCAGGAAAACAGTAAACTTCTTGTCCCCAGGGAACTTGCAGGGTAGTTGGGGGAGGGAAGAAAGAAAGAAGAAAAAGCAAATTATATAATACCGGTATTGATAAGCAGTATTAAAAAGTGGGATGAACTCTTTGGAGAAATGGCTGACAATGACTCCAGCAGGAGATAAACGAGAAAAGTACAAAACATCTTGAGTGCCAGAAAGTAAGGAAGTATTCAAAACTAAGAAAGGAGGAGGAGGACAACCTTAGCAATGAGAGTATGCCAAAAAAAAACAAAAAAACAAAAAAACAAAAAAAAAAAACAAGGGGTGAGGTGAAAATGTTGCCCTGGGCAGCTCTGGGAGCATCAGGGCAATGAAGCGAAGATGCTTCCATCAAACCAAAACACAGAATAAATCCCAATGCCCTCTCAGGAAGATGGAGTCCACACCTAGTGACTCTTTCAAAGACGACAGGATGGAAGGGATGGGGAAAGCAGCCAGACTGATTAGATCCCAGGAGAACCTGGCAAAGACTCCTTCAGGCAGATGAGAAAGCTTAAATCCACCGCCAGCAGCTATAGGACAAGTTAGGGTCTTGGATCTGACGTGATGAAGAGTCGTACTCTGTCATCTTCACCCAAACAGAAGCCTAATCATGAGAAAGCAGAATCCCAATGAGAGTCATTTTATAAAACACCGCTCAGTAGTCTTTATAAAAGACAGCTCAGTAGTTGAGAGCACTTGGTTTGATTCCCAGCAATCCCATGGCGGCTCACACTCATCCATAACTCTAGTTCCAGAGGACCCAATGCCACAGGGATACTGGCACTTCCATGTTGATACATGGCTAGTCACAATAGCCGCATTCTGTAGCCATCCCAGGTGCCCATCAATAAATGAATTTGTAAGAAGAATGTGTGTATATACCACATGGGATTTCATTCAGCTATAAAGAGGAACAAAACCTTATTGTTTGCAGGAAAAATGCTCAGTATGTCAAGTGAAATAAACTACACTCATATTTTTATTTTATATGTGGACAGAAAAGTAAAACAGGGGTTTGGTAGTGGTAGCTCATGACTTTAATCCCAGCACTGTGGTAAGGCAGATTCAGGAAGAGCTGAGTTCGAGGTCAGCCTGGTTTATAGTGTGAGTTCCAGGACAGCCGGGGCTACACAATGAAACCCTGTCTCAAAGAAAAGCGTTTTAGATGTGGAAAAGAGAGAGCAGGGGATAGAGGAGAGGGTGATGGTCAGAGCACATTATACACACATATGGAAATGTCATAATGAAAGCTATTACTTTGTACAATTAATACATGCTAGTAACAGATCCGAAAATCAGTACCCAGCTCTTGTTGAGCACCAAGAACACATTCCCCGGTTTTTTTGGTTTAGTTTTCCTGTTGGGAGGGGTATTAAGAAACATTAAGAATGGGGCTGGAAAGATGGTGCTGCAGTTAAGAGCCAGACACCCAGAAGACCCGTGTTCAGTTCCCAGTACCCACATGGCAGCTCACACCTGTCTGTAACTCCAGTTCCAGGTCTTCTGACACCTTCACACAGGCACACGTGCAGGTGAAACATCGATGCACATAAAATAAAAATAAACTAACTACACAAGCCGGGCAATGGTGGCACATGCCTTTAATCCCAGCAGTCTAGAGGCAGAGACAGATGGGGGTCTGTGAGTTCAAGGCCAGCCTGGTCTACAAAGTGAATTCCAGGACAGGCTCCAAAGCTACACAAAGAAACCCTGTCTCAAAAAATGAAAAAAGTTTATATACATACATATATATATATGAAATATTAAAAAAGGAAAACTCAGGTGATACGAGTGATATGAGACTCTCTCAAAAATTCAACCCTGGTAACACAGTTGTTGCAGCTGATGGGGAAGCAGCATAGCAGCTGAAGAAGCAGGTGCAGTCACAGGGCTGGAGCGCAGTGCAGGCACAGTGGTTCTTGCAAGTCAGAAATAGATGTGATGACAGGGAGCTACAGGCATGCTGCATCAAGCTGGGCTTCCTGGTTTGGACATTGTGAGCTGGGGACGGAGGAAAGGATACGGGTGACTTCTTTGCATAGTTACTGTAAGTTCTTTAAATAAATATGTTACTGTTTCAAAGTCAAAATACTTTTTTGTTTTTGTTTTTCAAGACAGAGCTTCTCTGCGTGACAGCCCTAGCTATCCTGGAACTCACTCTGTAGATCAGGCTGGCCTCGAACTCACAAAGATCTGCCTCGCTCTGCCCCCCAAGTGCTGGAATTAAAGGCGTGTGCCACCACCACCCGGCCAAAGTTAAAAAAAAAAAATCATTTTCAAGTCAGTTTCTCTGCAGGAGGATGAAATGACTGCCGACCTTTCACAGAGTGCAGATGGCGGAAGTGGCGTGATCTGGTTGCCACACGCGTGCAGCTAGGAACGGAAGCCATGGAAGTTCCATCTCAGAAGGAGTTGGTTCACTTCCGAGGGCCACTGCTGCAAGCTGACAGGCATGCTGGATGATAAAAAGTGAGACACTCAGAACTGAGCCACACTGTGACACATAAGGCACTATGAGGAGACAACATTTAGCTGGAAAAGCTGAAGGCACTCAAGACAGAAGAGTTCTCTTCAAACACTTGACAGCTATCCCTTGGGAATAAAATCATACTTTCACAAAATTCCAGAAGTATTTTCTTAAGGAACATGGAAACAGTCTGGGCTATGTTCAGGCCTCTGATACTAAAACCTTCGGATGCACCAGAAACATCAAAATGTTCTCACATGGAATCGTTACTATCTCTTTAACTCTCCTTTCATTTGGCCTTAGGTTGAGCCATGATGGTTAAGAAGGCTTCGTTTATTACCACCACCTTCAGCCATGTCATTCTGACCTTATCCCAGCAGCTAACTCAATAGGTCTATCATTTGTGCTTATGAATGAAATGGTTATCAGCTCCTAAGCTACTTGATTCTCAACAAAGGGGCCACAGAGAGAAAAGGCAGCCTCGCTAATAAAGGCACTGACCCCAGCCCAAGAAGCCACATCTATGGTGCTGAACAAGATGTAATCTGTCAATCCATGCCAACATTATTTCAAAACAGATCAAAGACTTTAGTGGAGAGCCTGAAATTCTACAACTACTAGGGAGGGAAAACAAAGACCACGTAAGGAAACAGCTTGAGATCTGTGAAGCCTGGGCTTGCTGAATCTCAGGGGGCAGCAGCACGAGCTGGCGCATGGGATCCACTGCAAAAGAAAGTTTCTGGGCAACAAATGAAATGATCAACAGAGTGAAGACACAGCTACAGAATGGGTCGAATTTCCCCGAAAATACCAGGAACCCAAAAAACTAAACACTCAAAGAACAAGTAAAGCACTGCATACATGGACCAATGAACTGAACGGGCACTTTTCTGGAAAAGTACAGACAGCTGGGAAGTGGTGACGAACACCTTTAATCCCAGCACTCAGGAGGCAGAGACAGGCGAATCTCTTTTTGAGTTTGAGGCCAGCCTGGTCTACAAGAGCTAGTTCCAGGACAGGCTCCAAAGCTACACAGA